CGCTATGAGTCGTAGGCGACTGACTCGATGGCACATAACAACAGCAACAACAACAAACCATCACTCAACATGCTGCAAAGCCAAGCCAAGAGGCAGAAAAGAATGTATCCTCAGAAATGCTGAGCAGCTGGATCAAGCCTTCCCTGAATGAAGCCCACAAACCTCGGAGATTCAATCACAGAAACCACCAACACCCTTCCTTTATCACTGAAGTAAATTTGAATTAGGGTTGTTACCTGCAGCTCCCGCCACCCAACGTGACACAGTGAGTGGGAGGGTAAGATGGCCCCTGGATGCCCCCCCGTCACCTGGCCCACCTGTCACTTGCCCATTGTGCTCCTTGAGCTCGTGCACCTTCACCCACTTGGCCCCGCTCTTCTCATAGATGTGCACCTCGTGGTTATTTGGGCAGATGGCGATCTCTGCAGGAGAGAGGGGCTCAGGAGTGCAGATCCAGGACCCCCAGGCCACCCCAACAGTGACAACTCAGCTGAGCAGCCCCCAAAACCTCCCAGGGCCTGCTGCTTCCTTTTCTGACCCCCACTGTCCACCAATGTCCTCACAGCAGCTTTCTGACCACTGGGACCCCTCACACTCACAGAGGGCAGTAGCTGCCAGCTACTCTTCTCTTCACTGCTCACTGCACACCACCTCCCCCCCCCCGCCCCCCCAGCCTCCTGACTCCATTCCCACATCCTGCTGCTGCCACTACCAGTCACTTGGAGGAGGGGCCCCCTCCAGCCAGACACACTCCTGGGCTCCCTCTCTTGTCTCTTTGCTGCTTCTGCAAGTATCACCTCCTCCAGGAGGCCTTCCATTCGAGTCCATGGGACTTTTCATCACCTCACATCACTTGCCTGCACTACGTGCTTATGTCGTTACTCTGTGCCTGACCCCTACTCAGCTAGGAGCCCCAGTAGGTGTGGCTGAGCTCCCTCCCTCAGTTTCATGTCTGTACCTGCTGGCCCTGCTTATCCCCAGGGTGTCCACGTGTTTCCTTCATAAACCCTCAGTGAACATGCACTTGTGCAGGCCCTGGAGTGGCCAACCCCACATGGACCCATGGGCCAGGGTGCCACCAACCCCACACCCCGTGGGCCCGAGCCCCCCTACACCCCCCCAGCAGCCCACAGGCACTCACGGGAACGGTCCTTGTTCCAGGCGTGGCAGCTGATGGGCTCCACCAGGAAGCTGTGGTAAGCCATGGTGCCCTTCCTGTGCCTGGGAGAGGGGTCCAAGTCAGCCTCACCCAGTGGAGACCAGGCCTGGAGACTCTCTGGTCTAAACAGGAAGCCCCTTGGTTTCAGGGCAGGGTTAGCAGTTTGCAGGGAGGGTGGCCAGGCCATCCTGGTTCTGTCCACCTCCCTAGTACTCCAGTCTGGCTCCTGGGGCCTCAGTTTCACTCCTACAAAAGCCACTCCCACAGGACATCTCTGAGGCTCCGAGGACATGGGGCTGGACAGGAGGGAGAGACTACAGGTGAAGAAGCCACTGCAAGTGAGTGCGGCTGGGACCCTGAGCCGGATCAGCCTCCTGATGACCCTACCTCAGTGTCCTCAAGCCCGAGCCAGACGCGGTCAGTAAATCTCAACTCCTATCAACCCTTCAGGACAGAGCAGAACTTCCCCAAAGCTGCAAATCTTTAAGGAACAGGCTGCTTCTTCTAGAGGGGCCTACGGATTCCAGTCACCAGCCTACGGGTCAGCAGGCCACATCTACTCATAGGTTTGGATGACCCAGTCGCCATCAACCACCCAGAAGGGTGCACAGCATATGCCACTCCAAGCCTGAGCCTCACTGCCCCCGTGGGGACAGGTGAGGGGGGAGCGGGAGGCTGCAGGTCTGCAAGGACCTGGGGGCCAGGGCAAGGGGCACCTGGTGGCACAGTCTGCTTACTGGAACTCGAGCCCATCAGGAGGAAAGCGAGGCAGTCTGCTTCTGAAACATTTAAAGCCTTGGTAACCCTATGGGGCGGTTCTGCCCTGCGAAGTCGGAATCAACCGCGAGACAGTGGGTTGTTGCTTGAGGGCACAGGCAGACAGACCTGGCTCCGTCCTTAAGACCTACTGGCAGCCCGTGGCACGCAGGCCAGACACTGCCAAGGGGTGGGGTCTTCAGGAGCCCTGGGACATCCCGGGTACAGGTGTTCATGAAAAAGCCACTCTTATTCCAGGCGGGGTCATATTTATCTTTAGGTGTCCCTTTGTCAGCCAGGCACATGGGGTCCTGACTTAGGCCTCACTGACCTAAGCTCAATCCCTCTCCAAGGACAGGCCTTCCAGATAAAAAGGTCTCCCCATCCTCACCTTTTTTTTTATTTTGTTGTGTACATCAAATAAGATTCGACTAGCGCAGGAGGAGACTGCACTTCTCCAGCGGAGCATCTGGTGGATTCGAACCCTGTGCCTTCAGGATTGCAGTGCAGCTTCTTACCACTAGGCCACCAGAGCTCCCCCTCCTCACTTGTAATGAACATTCTGGCTGCATTTCTTCCAAGACGTATTCATTCTTTGGTCATCCATGGATGTTCACTGAACATGGAACTATAATGAACTATGTAGAGTGTAACTAGAACTCTTCTGTGTACTAGGAGCTCTGGTGACCTCATGGGCAAAGAGTTGCAGTGCCAACTCAAAGGCAGGCGGTTTGAATCCACCAGCTGCTCCAAAGGAGAAAAATGAGCTTTCTTCTCCCATGAGCTTCACAGCCTCTGAAATCCTCCTGGAGGGACAGCTACAAGTCAGGTACAACTTGATAGCAACGAGTTGAGGAAACAAAAAAAAATCCCGTTAGCTCAGCTGACTGTGATCTTCGCTTGATGGTCTCCAAGGTGAGCATGTACACCGAGACCTGTGGGAGCCGGAACTCAGCAGGCCTGCCTTGTTTTTCTGGGTCTCTAAAGTTTCCCACCTTTGACAGGATGCAGTCTTACCACCTTTCAATTGCTTGTTTCAGGGGAAAATCTCTCCCTCTCCGACACAGTTCCGCCTTCCACTTTCTGGCTTTTACTGTCTTACAGTGGCCTTATTCATTCTGCCCGTTCCCTTTTGCCCTCGGCCAGAATACAGTAAGCTCGAGGAAACGTACCTTTTCTCCTCTCTCCTGTTCATGTCTATGCACCGAGTGAATACTTACTTCAATAAGTAAATTTCTGTACTTCCATTCCCAAAACCCCCACCACTGGATTCTGATTGATTGCAACCCTGCAGGACAGAGCAGAACTGCCCTTCAGGGTTTCCAAGGCGTGCTGGGAGCAGACGGCCTCAACTTTCACAGAGAGAGGCTGGGAATTCGAACCACGGGCCTTTCAGTTAGCAGCTAGGCAAGGAAGTACTGAGCCACCAGGGCTCCTCTGCTGCCATTTTTAGAAGATTCTCAACTTTAAAAAGGTAAAAACACACAAGCCAACACACCACCTAACTTTCCTTGACTGGCCCTTACTGGCCAGGCCGTCTTCTAAGCACCTTGTTAGGGGATGAACTGTGCCCCCCATGGGTTCCTCAATTCAGGTGCTGGTGAATGTCTGGCCAGAGTGTCTGAAGCTGTTACTGTTATTAGAAGGTCCTACTGGGATAGCAGGAAGTAGCTAAGAGAATACGCCGTCCCCTTTTCCTTATGACTCAGGGTGAAGTCTCTCTCAGGGAGGAGTGATAGGGAATGGCAAAGGATACACTGACAAAGAAGATTAATCAGAACTGGCTTTGACAAGCACTGTGGCATTTGGACAAGAACAAACTGGGAGGAGGGTAGAGAGAATAGTGCAACAATGAATGAGTGGAAGCCCAAAATCTCTGTAAATGTTTATGAAAATTAATAAAATATAATTATAGAAAAAAAAAAAAGAAGGTCCTACTGGGATAAGGTGGATCCAAATCCTACCTGAGTCATGTCCTTACAGAAGAGGAGACACAGAGGAAGATGGCCATGGACAAAGAATTATCCACAAACCAAGGACACTTGGGGTTGGGGACTGACTAGGAAGGGCTTTGCCTAGGACATGGCCCCGCTGATACCGTAATTTCAGACTTCCAGCCTCTGGTGTGTGCATGTGTGATGAGGTTCACATACTTCAGGCATGTTGTCAGGAAGGGCCAGTCCTTGGGGAAGACATCATGCTGGGAGAGGTGGTCAGGGAAAGAGGGGAAGACCCCCAACGAGATGAGCTGACACAGTGACTAACAGTGGCCTCGGACGTATCAGAGATGGCGCGGATGGCTCAGGACTGGGCAAGGCTTGGACGTGCTGTTCACACAGTCAGAGTGGATGCAGCAGTAACAGTAACAAAACCAAAACAAACAATAACACAATAACAAAACAGCCTATGTTAGCTGCGGAGGGGTCAGTGCCTGGAGAAGGATCATGCTTAGGCAAGTACGGAGACGGTGGACACCAGGATGACTCTCAGGACTTGGAGGGACACAGTGGCCACCACCACGGGCTCAGGCACAGGACACTGAGGACACACAGGACTGGGTGGGGCTTCCTGCTGATGGCCGGCTGTGGAGTCACTGCGTCAGAGCTGAGCTGATGGCACCCAACACCAAGAGCAGCCTCCAGAAGTGCGAGCCAGCACAAGCCTGTTCCTAGAAGCCCCTTCCCCGCGGTGCTGTGACAGCCAGTGCCACAGGACACAGAGATGTCATGCTCCGGTCATCCTGGGCCTGGAGGCGAACCCTGCAGGTCAGCTCCCAATGACTCAGTGGTGAAGTCACACAGCCAGCTGGGGAGGCTCGAGGCTGTGGGTCCCACGTTCACCCACACGGCTAGCTTGGGAGCCCTGGAGGAACCATGCACTCCACCTGGGCCCCAACTTTGAGGAGCAGTGCAGGGAAAGGACAGAGGAGACTTGGCCAGGGCTGCAAAGAGTCAGGTCCAGGGACCTGCTGGTCTGAGGCCACACCACAAACTAGCGGGGGTCTGATTTCCAGCTCACCTCAGACTCGAATCTCCTGCTTCACTTCCGCTGGGCAGTCTACCCCTCACCACGTGTTCGTGCGGACATGCATACACACATGTGCACACACAGAGAACAACGAGCACGCAAGGGGCAGAGGGCGTGCCCCTTTCCCCAGGCCCCAGAATGGGTGGCTTGCTGTGTAAAGCACACACATGCACACGCAGCCCACAGCAGAGCCACACATGCACGTGTGCACACACACACACCTGCACACATGTGAGACACAGTGACTGCACCAACAGGCTTGAGCGGGGCGGAGGTCATTAATTAGGTACAGGTGCAGGACGGAGCAAGCTTTCCATCTGCTGCTCACAGGCTCTCCGGGGACTCTGTGCACCTCACAACAGACATGCCGCTGTTCCCAGCCACACAGGCGTGCTCACCTTGCACACACAGGTACTCTACTCTCACACAAATCCCACGAGCATGCCCTCATGTGCTCGGATGCACAGTGTCATCAGCCATGCACACATGCCTGCACTCTGTCCCCACCACAACTTCCTCTCTGAGCGTCTGCTTCCTTAAAAGGCTTTTTGCAAGGGGAAGGCCCCAGAAGTGCCATCTCAGCCTGTGTTGGTCTCAGCCTGGTGGGGCTTTCCCGGGCACCCCCGGTGTACCCCCAAAATGCCAGTGGTGGTCCCACTTGTCAGGGGTCATTAGGATGGGAGCGGGGTGCATCAGGCCTGTCTACCCCTCTTTCCAAGGTTACGGTAGGGCCAGGCTGAACTCACTGCCAAGCCCAGCCTGGACGCTGGTCGGGCCAGAAGGAAAATGTTCTTTGGTGCAGCCTGGGGGACCCCGTGGCCGAAACTCTGGCCCCAGGCTGGTTAGTAGAACTCCCCCCTTTCTAACACCGACTGTCACAGACCTGTCCCCAGGCATGTCTCTGTTCTTTGCAGGGTCTGGGTAAGAGTGGTCTGTAAGCCCCACCCATCACTACAGAGCCTGGTTCACAGTGGGGTGTGCCGTTGGGTAAATATTTATGGGAGGAGACAGCCCACCTTTCTCCCCAGGAAGGGCTGGCTGGTGGATTCCAACCCCGGGTCTTTCGGTTAGCAGTCCGACATGCGTGGTGGTCATTAAGTCTGTATCATGATGTTCCCGAGCCCTGGGCTGTGAAGACAGAGCAGCTTGACTCTGCCAAGGCCAGCGGGTGCACCTGTGCCACCAGGAAGTGACAGCTGAGCGGACCTGGGAACCCCGAGACCCGGTTCCTGAGACCTCAAGGCTCTGATGGGAAGTCCCCAG